TGACACTTCTTTCCCAGAAGGCTAACATCGCAAATTGATGGGTGTCATTAATCTGCAATGATGTGCAGAATTCCTAAAATGGAATTGGTCAAAGCTTTATCTTTTTTTATTTCTTCCTTTCAACATGGCCAAAAGAAAAGTTGCCACCTAAATTCAACTTAGCAAATAGGTACGAGCCTCCTATTGGATAATTACTGCATTGGCGATTATCTTTCAGCTGACAACAAGTTATTTAACCCCAACTGGTGCAATGACTTGCTTTTCATTTCCTAAACAACCATGTCGAAAGACACATCCCGTGGTCGTGGAAAAGATGTTAGTCTGTTTGAAAAGGGTCAAAACATTGGCATGCATCAAGCAGAGCAAACATCTAAAGAGATTGCAGAAACTACTAAAATTGGGTTAAGAACTGTCCAACACATTATTAAAAACTGGAAGGATAGTGGGGACCCATCATCTTCAAGGAAGAAATGTGGCCGGAAAAAAATCCTGAATGATCGTGACCGGCGATCACTTAAACGTGTGGTGAGATCAAATCGAAGAAAAACAAAAGTAGAACTCAGGGCTATGTTTAATACTGAAATTAAGATCATTTCCACACGCACAATTCGAAGGGAACTCAAGGGATTGGGACTTAACAGCTGTGTAGCCGTAAGAATACCACTAATCAGTGAGGCTAACCTGAAAAAAAGGCTTCAATTTGCTAGGGAGCATAAAGATTGGACTGTGGAGCAATGGAAGAAGGTCACGTGGTCTGATGAGTCCAGATTTACCCTGTTACAGAGTGCTGGGCCAATCAGGATAAGAAGAGAGGCAGGTGAAGTAGTGCACCCACCATGCCTAGTACCTACTGTACAACCCTGTGGGGGCGGTGCTATGATCTGGGGTTGCTTCAGTTGGTCAGGTCTAGGTTCAGCAGCAGTATGTGCTCAAAGAATGAGTTCAGCTGACTACCTGAATATACTGAATGACCAGGTTATTCCATCAATGGACTTTTTCTT